TTTCACACTTTTTTGTTACACTAACAAAGTAGAAATGATCGCTATTATTTTTATTTCATCGCTGAGTAGCGTGGGATATTTTAGATCCCAAAGAGACTAAGAGATTATTTTTTGAAATGGAATTTCTACTCTCTGTTTTGTTAAGCTTTCAATCTTTTTTAATATTTATTTCAATGGCTCGCACGTCTATATTTGACGTATCTACCATGTGATATATATGTATATATGTATGAAGCTATGTAATATATAATAGGTAAAGGATTGAAAAAGATGTTTTACGAACATGGCTTTACAATATCGATATTTTAGCTGCGTCGATATTAAACTTTCAAAGGCAACGAGAAATATCTTTATCCTTTAAACTTGTATGATTATGCGCAATGAATGATATCGGATTGTCGTATCTTATGAATAATGTGATTGTAATATGTAACGAGAAATATTTTCGCTCTTCAAATTCATGAATATAAATGTCGTTTAGATCCTCATATTGTATTCATGAATGAAATGATTGCATCAATAGCCGATTCAAGGAGAGGTTCTATTCTCTTCGAATTCAAAAGAATCGAACAAATTTGGCTAATACCCGCCATTTCCACCGAGCAAGTTATTTTTGTCTGAAACGACAATTGTCTGCAGTCAATCAACTGCTCGATCGTTCATTTCATATCGTATTTAACAAGAGCAAATTTGCTGTCGATAGATAGCGAATGAATGGTCGAGAAAATGAATGTCTCTGCAGACGGAAGAAACATTTGAAACGAGTGACATTGGTTGATATGAAATTCCATTTGTAAAAATCATTAAAGGTATTGTGTTCGATATTATTATAACAGTAATTCAAAAATAATTGTCATATAACAAACAACAATGCACATTTAAAAGACATTATTTAAAAGAGTAATTTTTAACTTAAAAATTACGTGAAATATAAACATTGAAATATGTTATATTGCAATCATAAAATATAATGAGTAATTTTATAACAATATAAAAATAAGGAAAGATGAATATTGGTTGGAATGTGTTATTATTTAAAAATAAAAATATAAACAAAATTATAGATGCTTAATATTAAAAATATGAAAAATGAAAATAACAAAAGTAAATATTTTTTGAAATTATAAGTTTATGATAAAGAGTAAATTACAATTATAAATATAAAAATACATTAGTTTAAAATTTGAAAAATGGATGTGAATAATAAAACAGCTTACCCTTTTAGAAGAATGCTTGTGATAACGATGAGGATGTAGCATACAAACATAACGGTCGATTGCCATGCAGACGAGGATAACGGCACTCTGTTGAGTCAAAGCACCCCTAAGAAGCGCCTGAAACAGTAAAAAGAGCTTCCGAGTAAAAAGAATTTCCGAAAGAGCAAACGAGGTTCTTCAGGTGTCGAGCAATCTCTCCCACTCTCTCTTTCTCAGTCTTTTCAAATAAAATAAGTTATAACTTCTAGGAAAAGTGCATAGGTCGACTAGCAGCGAGACAAGTCGTCGTGTCGAATAGACGAAAAGTTTTGATGAGTTGAGAGAACGTCGAGAAAATCAACTTGCACTCGGCGTTTCACAATCATTCCACTCTTTATAATTTTTTTGCAAGTCATCATTCAAATATTTTTTAATTTAAGAAAAAGTAATAGAAACAAAGATATCAAATGTATTTATTTCGGCGCGTTTCATATTTATATATTATTAATAATAACTCAATAATTAAGATATGTGATGTGAATAATGTAAGTAAAATTAATATATATATATATATATATATATATATATATATTATATATATATATATATATTATTACATATTGTATAATAATTTTACATTTAATTGAATTGTCAATCAATTAGCTGATCCTAGAGATGCACATCTTTCTGAATTTATCGGAATAATCATTATCAGGGTTTTACTACTGTTTGACGAGCGACAGCTTGCGGTTTACCGCTGATGCCACAACGCTTTGTGGTAATTTTGCATCGAACGTCGGAATTCGTGAGAGAATCATTGTTACTCTGATTTGAGGGTATAGGCAGAATCATCTAATTAATTGCTATAGGTCAACAATGAAGATTGAGGCTTAATTAACGTTATAGCGTTGCTGATTATTTACAATGATGTTTCGTGTAGACGACGTTACAATTACGTTACACACATTTCGCCATATAGCGAATCGTTTGTGAGCTCTATAAAGCTGGCACCGAGTCCGTGCTGTAATTAAATGTCACGCTCGAATAAAAAGGACCGCATTCATCACCGCGCAATGTTGCTTCCACACCGTTGCACGTATCTGCCTGCAAATTTTAGTCCGCGATTAAATAGTGTGACGTAGTTTTTATAAATTCCGCACATGCAGACACCACGGATAAAATTTAATTTACGCATGTTAATTGCGATGAAATCGTAGAACATGATCTCGTAAATGTCGGAAATTAATAACAAACATTATTAACGGCAGAATCCCATTGGGTTGTTCCACATTATAATAAAACAATTAAGATAAAGGAATCAAGTCACACAAATTTGCATTGTTATATTTTAATTTAATTAAGATTAAATCACGTCTCTCTCGAATAAATTGAAAAGTAATATTAAACTTCTGATATTCATCGGAAGGGAATTTTTAGAAAATAATTTTTTGAAAAACTATAAGTAATTTTTAAGAAAGTGTTATTAATTATTAATTAATGTTTACTTCTTCATATCGCAGTTATCATTCGATTGCAATCGGCTAATAAGTAAGTAATTGTGTAACGATTACGAAAGCGTACTGGCTCAATTTCTCGTAACTCGATCTTCGAATGGACTGTCGGCAAACGCTAATTCGTTCTCCAAACGTACATACATTACGTGAAACAAGCTGTCAGGCGGCGAGCAAATTGCCAGTAGGATCACCGCCAGCCCTTCCATCCAATTGAAACTGACTATCTCTACGACTGCAAGGGAATCACAACAGCGACTGCGAATTAACGTGCATTACTTAAGAAATTTAGGATTCTATTTTCTCTATTCTTTAAAAAGATCAATAAATATTCAAATATTCGTGAATCTATGGAAAATATTGATCCAACTTGTTAATAAATTTGAACAAAACTTCCGGACACATATTTTTTTATAAACTTATTAAACAATAAGTTAGTGTTATATCAAAGTGCAGAAAGGATACTTATATGTTGTCTTAGATTTTGTTGACCTTCGAACTATGTGAAGAAATATTTCTTACTCATTATATATTATATTGTAGTTAAATAAATTCCAGGAAAATAAAAATTGATTTATACATCAAGAATTTATTTATTAAAGAAATTATTTATAAATAAATTTATAAGCAAATAAAAAATAAATATTTTGTGATTCGCGCCAGCGAATTCCTTCTAAATTAACAAGATAAAAAATAAACGTACGTGTATTTTTTAAAACAAATATATAACGCATGCCCGCCTACAGCGTATACATTCAACCACATATTGAGCAATTTCGTAGCTATCTACTGACACTATCGACTGTCGTTTGAGTCCGATATGTTGGACTGCTTTGAAGCGAGACAGTTGGGACGTAACGAGATGTACACTATCGCGATTCGAAACATGCTCTATCCGGCAGGAGCTCACCGAGAGCGAGACGAAAAGAGAGTACGATTTGATCTTTGGGAAAGAAAATGCTTTCACATGCCATGAGCCGCCGAGGGCGACAGCTTGATTCGATGAATCGGTGATGTCGGTGTACCGACAAAGAAACAACAACTAGAAGACGAGGGTGCGAGGGTACAAAGTATACATTTAAGATGGTTACCATGGTGACCGTTGGCGTATGGCCAAAGGAAAAAGCTCGGATAATCTGAAGAGGCCAAGATCGGTCTGGCCTCGTTTCGAGCTATCCCCAAAACACTCCCAGGAGACCTTAACCGAATATTTTCGCCGCAAACGAACTTATCCGATCTTGCCTCCGAGGCAATCCGCTAACCCTTTGTCGTCGCCGCTATCCTCGTCGTCGCAGCGGCGACTTTAATGAAGCTAATCGAGCTAACTTTTATTTAACCGCGATTGAAATAATTGATATAACAAGTTCGATCTCTCTGATTCGCCGCGGCCGGGAAATACCGTCGAGAAATAACAGCGAGCGCTGTGTTGGAGTTTCGCGAAATTGCATTTGCTCCGGAACGACCTTGGGCCGATTGCAGTAGCGCGTTACAAGTGGCGCATCCTTTTAGTGGAGAACATTCGCTTTTTGTTGAAATTCAGTGTCGCCGGAACCTGGACGAACGCGAACATTGAACCGTAAAATTGCACAATGTCAACGTAAACAACGGGGAAATAAAGTTAACAATCAGCGGAGTTGACTTTTACTCGACAATGGCCGTAGTTTTCAGGTGCCAATGGCAACGATTTATTCCATTTACATGAGACATCATGGGACATCACACATGCTATTGAAGAATCTGAAGCACGTCATCTCCATGCCACGCGCACAACATGCCGCATTTCTAGTAGAAATTCACGATCGCCCCTAAACGCGATATAATTCTTTGCTCGTCCAATAAATAAAACTGGCATCGGCATGGCAATGCAGGCCTGGAACGTATATCCCGGAATTGCGGAATATTAAATTTGCAATCGCATTACTGCGGTGGCGCAAGAATTTTTCAGGTCGGTTTGCGCCGTGAGAAAAAGAAAGAAGAAAAACGGTGCCGCTAAGCGACAGGCAACATCGGCGCTTCGTTCTAGCTCGTTCTGAGTAAGTAATGACATTATGTGACTAAATAGGGAGCGTTGGAAAATTTACCGATAGATGGTTTGGAATTCGTTTTATATCCACTGTAATTAGCAGACTTGCAATAGAATTTGTTAATTCTAAAAATAAAATTGTAACTAAAAAAGATTAAATACCAATGCATTTAAAAAAATTTTAAAAATGTGCAGGTTCTCTAATGCAGGTTCTCTAATGTTATCATATGTGCAGGTTCTCTAATGTTATCATATTTGTTAAAATAAAAAAATAATCGTTTATAGCGTGAAAATATTTTTATATTAAAAAAAAAATTGGTTCAATTTCCGTACTGTTATTAAATGCGTCGCAAGTAGCGGAACTGTCACAACATCATAACAACAATGATTGCCTTCAGTGATTGCATTTCGGTGCATCACAGAGCAAGAACAAGCGGTATACTAGTTTATCGAAGTTTACGGTTTGGTTTCTAGCGGATATCTGAATACACAAACTCGTCGCGGCTCGGAGTTATCGCTTAGACCCAGGAGATTTGTTGCCACTAAGGATGGATTCTATGAATATCGAGTGGCTAGAGACGATTTACCATTTCGGAATACCTAAAACGCGGGATCTCTATGTCATTCTCATGCTCTTTTCCCGATGGAACAATTGGCGACACGTTGTAATCGACCCGTTCTCAATTATGTTTCTCTACGGGCGATACTCGATATGCAGCATCACTTCAATTGGAACTGCATATCTCAGAATAAAAGATTTAAAAACCGCAAAATTCAAAGTGAGGCAGGATTAAAAATGAAACTCAAAATTGGATTATTTATCTTTTTCACAACATTTCCCAAAGCATTCTCTCGAATAAAATCGAACAGCATTGTTAAAACATTATGCATTGTTTCTTTTTTATTTTTCACTGTTTGCTAAAAATACTAATGGTACGTGGAATAATGATACGTGTGGAATTGGAAATATTAAAATAAAAATAAGTTTGTTTAATAACTCAAACATTGCCGCTCGTTATTGCCGCGAATAGATACGAAATGCTCTTCCGATCGTCATTTAAAATGGACGGAATGTAACCGATTGCCTGTTGATGCGGCGGAATATTAAATATTATTAATGCCGGTGGATTGTTGTAGATAATATATAAGCTATTACCTGATCACGAAATCGATTCAATTGTACACAACCGTCGCCATTGGGCCAACACAGCGAAAAGAATACGAAACCGAAACTGTGGCCGCGCCACTTTTATTCGCCGATCACGTAAAGTTTAACACGTTCGTTTGAAACTTTTCTTGTTTGCACGTTTTCTTTCTCGCTTGCCAATAGCCTCGCGCAATACCAACACTATAGTTACGTTTCTATCGTGAGGTTAATAGATTCGTAGCTTCTCTTTGTGCTAACGGCGGTTACTGTGCTCGTATCGAATCGAGTACTACTACTTTTTTTTATCTACCAAAAGTTGTTAATAATTAATGAGATCACACGGATCTATGTCCATGCCTGATTGTGATAAACTTTTTAAGAGCAAAGGGAAAAAAGTTTTAAAAGTTCAAGAAGATTCAAGAGATTTTAAAAAGGTGTACACGAAAAAAGAAATAATGTTTTAACGGCATTAAATGTAATTAAAAATAATCTTGTTGATTTAATAAAAGTATTGGTAAAATAAAAATATACATATTTCTTACATTAGTGCGGCTATTGAATTAACAAGTTGATTTTCAATTTTTATTTGCTTTATATTTGATATACTGTTGATTCAACGTCAACTTTTTTTGCATGAATATATTAAATATGAAAGAAAGAGACGGAGAGTGGCATGCATATTTTAAGGTATAACAGTACATATATGGAATATTATATTATATGCGAGAATACGCAGAGAATGAACAAGTCTTCTATCAGGGATGTTAACCCTCCGTCGTCCTCATCCATATCTCATCATATCCATTTGAGAGACATACAGATAAAGAGACTGAATGTAAGAAATACACGTGAATATGTTTCAAAGACGAGAATATCCATACGTTGGAATATTATCCTTATAGTTTTATGAAATTCCTGTTGTACAAGTGCTGAGATCTCTGATTTTATATTTCGGGAGTCGATGGTTCTCGTAAAGTTTTATAGGATCGTCCGCAACACTGAGTCTTGTCTGAATTTCTACGCGGCTGTTATATATTTCAATCACACATATATCGCACGATTTTTAGAAACGTCCACTATATGTGATGAAATGAAGATATTTTATCTATGTATGTAAAAAAATCAAAGTTTGTAAAAATGTATTAAAAAATTATTAATAGTATATAATAATTTTTTTAATACATTTTTAATACCTTTTTGCCTTAATACACTCAACATGTTTTTTTAATTTTCAAATATTTATACTTGACATATATTTATTAATTCTCTGCTACTAATCTTCTTTCAACTTGATCTTATTTATTTACTAAATTTGTAATCCACCAAATTTGTAATCTATTTTCAGCTACACAGAAATTTATTCTCTCCACGTTTATTAATTCTCTCTGCTTATTCTTCTACTTGCTACCGCATTATCTTTTATTTTTTTTGGTTACTTACCACTCTATTGCCCGTCTCATTCTTTGCACAATGCACAATGCACAATGCACTCTTCATTAAGATAAAATCTCAAGAAGTGTTTTAAAAATAATGCTATTCATTAATGTACACGTTGCAAATGAATGGTCTTTCTATTATTTCTAAAGGATAAATTCATTTTATTTTAAAAACTCTGGTAGATCATTCCGCAAATTCTGTTTAGAATTGTCTATCTTAAACATTAAAGATATATCTTTTTCAATTTTATTTCTTATGTTTGCTTTGATAAGAAACAAGTATTCGAATTGCACAAAACATTTATGACAGAATTTTTAATTGCAATTCTTAAATATTATTGTTGAATGTTTATAAATGTAATATAAATCTTTTATATAAAAGTAATTTAATTCAATTAAATAATATAAAGTTATTTAAGTTAATTTAATTAATTTTAAATATTAAAGAGTATATATTATTTAATTTAATTTTATTTATTATAACTTTTATTTTACTCTTGTCAGAATTTTGATTAATCTCTGTTGCTCAGCGTTTCAATTGCAATTTGTATAAAGAGGCTTCTTCGAATCGACAACCATATCTTATTTGCACTAAATTTATGCGTAGTCTCGACATTTGATGAAAGTGACGTAGTGTAAGAATCTGGCATTGGTAACGGATACTGTTTGATGCAATATTATGTACATTTTCCAGAGATGCAAAGCCGAAACATCGGAAGACATCTTAGATATCAGAAAGGTATTCCGATATAACGCGACATATATCTTTGCGTAGTTCGAGTCTTATCGGGAAAATGCGGTGAAGATGATTTGTTGTTATAGGTATGGCTATAACTTATGATATTCAGATAAAAATGACATTACTCCGTTTTCTATCTATATTATATACATGTATTATGTGTGTACACACACACACACACACACACACACACACACACACACACACACACACACACACACACACACACACACACACACACACACACACACACACACATATGTATAAATAACAATCGATATTAATATCTCGGTTATAATCTATTTTTCTCTTATTAATTTTGTTGATAAGAATATATTATTGTTGTAAGCAAACGCAGGAATTAATGATTATTTATATAAAACATAAATTATTAAATAATGTTATCTATAATTAACTAATCCGATCTCGAAAAAGTATTGATATAAACAAAGTTGTAATACATAGAAGTTATAACAAAATTATATTATAATTTTATGTTTAATGAGATTTCTAATGTTGTCTTTTTGTTAAACTTTCATAACATTTTGTTAGTCGCAGTTACTGAAACTAATTATTTTAATATTTTAATATTTTATTATGCAAGCATACGGAAATACGCTGTACGTTATAATGGGCCGTGAAGTTAATTAACAGTATCATTATTACATTAGATAATCAGAGAGCAGAGCGACATAATAAATGCATTACATGATACATGCCGCTTTCATTTGTTACCGAAGAAAGATACATTAAATTATGACGCATGATAAATATTTGTTATAAATTAAAAATAAAGTTACATTTAGTTTAAGCATAACTCTTATTTATATACAACTTATGTTCACACACTAATTTCGCGCTAGGTATTACGGCAATTTCCCGTTTCGGTTAGATAAGCAAATACCACGAAATTCGAGATCTGCCGGCGAAACGGCGCATTTCGGAGTTTAGCACGTGCGAAATGAAGAAATATACGATCACAAATCAGACCGTTACCTCAGAAGATGGCGTAGAGGACGAGGAAGGGATCGGAGGGAAAGGAGCAATGCGTAAAGATTATCGCCAGGAACTCCGATAACGTCGCAGTCGCCGACTGGTGGAGGAAATAGCGGAAGAAGTACCGGTTGCCGGAAGCGCAGCCACGAGTTTCAAACGATAATAATTTCCTGCCAAGCATCGCGAACACCATTTCAAGATTTCCTCTAAATTTCTCGATTTCTGGCAAAGAAAAGCTGTCGAGGTTATTGAACGGCTCTTTAATGCGCAACGCTATATCGTAATCTCCAACATTATACTCAAGCCTTACATTCATTATGCCGAAGACACAAAAATGCAGCGTTGATATAAAATTAATATACCTATCAAATATCAATTTTACCTGAATTTTTATTAAATAAAATAGGATCGACAGGAAAGCATTGATTATTTTATTTTACTTTATACAGTAAAATGGTATATTATTGTAATTCATGTGATAAAAAATAGAATAAACATGAAGATTCATTAAAAATATTATAATATATTGTAAAAGTTACCTGAATTTGACAGACAACTTCGCCATACGGCCAGCATCCGTAAACAGCTGGTAAGAAACCGAAAGGCGTCACTAAAAGACCAATCGCTAGATCGTTACTCGCTAAGCTCGTCAGCAAATATCTGGGCTGGAAGAAAATTGAGGAAAACCTGTTGATCATCTTGGTCAGTGTCAATGGATTTTATTAGCGCTTAACGTTTGAATTAACGATTGAATTGTTATGTGACGTGTGCGACGTTAGCTTCGTCATGAGGCGTGTAACGAAAAAAAATATTGATTGAGTTAAAGAAAACTCCATTTGTCTAATCATAAATTATTTCCAATGAGTATCAATTAAAATTAATTGATCCAACTGTGATTGTTTCATCTAATTTTGAAATGAATTTTTTATGCAAAATTCAATATGCAAATGTATAGAATAATAAAAGATTTAGTTTTTATATTGAATCAAAAATGCGTTTGTAATTGTTAGCTATTAATACGATTTTAACTTTCAGTCTTTGCAATATTACTTTCTACTCCTGCTAATAACCTGCTAATAGTTTGTATGGAAATTCATAAAAGTTTCATATATATATATATATATATATTTAATAGACTATGTAACTTTTATGTATGCATAAAATTAGATCTGAGAGCGCGAAGTCGCTAAGGTAAAAAAAAAAGAAAAACTGAAAAGAAGTTGGAAAGAGCAATACAAAAAAAAAGTTAAACTTCATTAGTGACTATATCTACAACATAGATTGTATAATCGCTAACAAATTTATAAAATAAATGTCAAGATAACGATTGTTCAAGAAACATTTAAATTAATGTAGGCTTCTTAAGATCGAGACATATGACATATTTTACAATATTGTTAAAAATATATAATCAATGTTTAATCTTTCAGAAATATTTACATATTTATATGACGAAGAATTAATGCATGCTAAAAAACTATATATTATATTGCGCTTTAATATTAAATTGCGCTTTAATCATGTTCTTGGTTTTACGTATTACAATGTTACAGGAAATTTTAATTAATCGAATAAACAGAGAAAAGAACATTTACTCATAACGCTCAACTTTTTGCGAACATCATTAGTCTCTGCGAAACTCGACAGTACTCATTTAGAATCTAGAAACATGACTGTTCTGTATTTCGTATAACTAACCACTTCAGACTGATTTACATAGGAAGAAGAGAGAAATAGAGAAAATACCACCTTCCATAACAGACTATGAGTTATGGCAGCGACTGGAACCTTCGTACATTTACGTAACTGATATTTTACCTAATATAATCCTCTCATAAAATATGAAACAAATATAATATTAATCTCATTATATCATATACGTATATACATATATATCTTGGTGCCTCCAGGTTAGCAAATCGCATATATTTAAATCTCCTTGAGTATTCTATCTTTCAAATAATGAGAAAAATTTTCAGAAAAATTTATATGTGCTGTTTTTCTCATGTATATTCTTTCCGATTTTTAAAAGTTGCAGTTTTGCAATTATTATTATTATTTTACAGTAAGAACAAAAAATAAATCTTTCAATTTATCTTAACAAAACAAATGTCAATTAAATTGAATTTGTTCACTTACTTTTGAAAAGTTAGATAAATCCATAAGTTAGATGTGTTAAATGTGTTACCATTTTTCTTACCTGAGCATGTATGTATTTGCTGTACTGCCTGCTATTGATGACACATATCACTAGCAGATTGGCGCACAGGATACCAAGACTGAGAAGCAGAATCAGAGTAGCTCGTACTAACTCTCCTGGGCCTGGACCTGTCCAAGCTTCGGACGTGCCGCTTCGCCAACAGCTGCTGTTGCTCAGTGAGGGTGCCAGCAGTATCGTCTGTTTGTGTTCCATCATCATCAGTTGGTCGATCACTTCCCCTTGCGATTATGGTGCCGAATCCCCAGACGAGACACCCGTGTCTCACTCCAGGCATACGTATTTCGTACGTTTCTGAAAAAAATAATCGTTTTTAAAAAAAAAAATCTCATTTTATGCTTACTTTATCGTATAATTTATATACGTAAAATCTTTCAATATTATTTGTGCAATATATTATTATATTTTTCATTATGCTTTGATGAACTTATGAGCGAACCAATTACATAAAACATAATGCTATTTAATATATTATAATTATAAAAAATATCATAAAAATGATGGTATCAAACGATATCCCTTAAAAATATTTGTTTTTTTATCAATAAGAAACAATTACAAACTATTATTTTAAAAAAGTGATCGTTTTTGTTTAATAAATTTAATGAATCAAGTTTCAAGAAAAGTAAAAAGGATAAAAGTAAGAAGATATATCGATGATTAAATGTTGCAACGTACTTTTCATCCCTGTCGGTCGCGAATATTCGAGGGTCCGCCTTGATGATAGCCGACCAGCTTTTTTAAGCACTGCTTCTTCATTATCAATGTTGTTAAAAATCTGCACAACGTTGCAAACGTTTGAGCGCGCCTAATGACGCACTCGAAAGTTTGTTCACGATTCACGAGTCGTCCATACGCATCTGTAAAACGATGTGTGACTTCGACTTCTGGTGATGCGTTCTTGATACTCGATGCATCTCAGTTTGCATCCTCAATGTATGAGTACGCGAGTGAGAAGACAAGCTCTGAGAAAAGAGAAAAAGAAGTCGCGGATAGAAATATAAGATAATATGGAAACATAGAATTAATTTACGAATTAATTTACGAATTTACGCATTTTTACGTGCAAATTATAAAATTGTAATTATCTTATTGTCTACTTATTGAGAAATATATGCGACAAAATAAGACGAAACTTAGTTATTTTATGTAATAACATTTTACGCGAAAGTTCTCTACGAGATCACAGACTGCATTTGAAACTCGTACGTTTCGAGTTCGCGACGTTTTATTTGCTTTTGCCCGCAATATTTCCAACAATCAAGCGTACGGGCGCATCCCGTTACGTTTCCGGGAATTTTATTTGTACCACGTAAACGAACGAAGCCGTTGGTCCGCGAATTCGACGTTGATCGATCGCACGCGTCAATTCCGTTCGCGTTGATGGTGAATCGATGATGCGTTACACTACGCCGGACCCGAATAGATCCCTGCGAATTCATACGGATCACACTCTTCCGTAATAAGTCTGATCCTTCGAACTGTGAATAATTAATTATAAATCTTTTACATTGCTGGACGGCGGGAGAAAGCCACTTTTCGCTTTCAATACGCGCCAAATTGCGTCGTAATTAAAATTCAAAAGAATCTGTTTGTTTCCTATGCGCGTCGAAATAACGGAAATGGAAAAATTAATTGGATATCTGCAGGTATCGGACGTTTCTTTTCACTGCGCGAGTCACGTTTGAAAACAAAGCTCGTGCAGTTAACATTACCCAACTAATTTTGTGATAATTAATACATTGTCCTCTCGCGAGCAGATATTGAAAATTAATGAGTTATAAAGCCGCTTACCGTGATAAACTAAAAGCCTAAGTAGATTTTATATTATTTATGTAGTATTATAATTATGATTAAATGAACTAATTGTTCATTTATTATTCTATATTTCTATCGTGCAAAAGCTTTATTATATCATTTCATTCAGAGATATAATTGAAAATTGCAAATCAATTTGTTAAAGAAGATAAAATAAGAGCATGCTGTAAACTGTAAACCAAGCTGAGTGTCAATGCTATTTAAATTTATAAATATGAAAATTTGATTTACATACTTTCATTTTATCGTTTTTATTTTATCAAGCCAGACTTCCTTTAAATATTAATATTTATTTAATTTTCCAACATATATTATACTAGTAATATACATATACACGACAACGATAATAATTTTTAAGAGCAGAATATAAATTATATATGAGATTACGAAACAGAGTATAAATTATACATATGAGATTAAGAATAAAAAGATTTTAAATACGATGTTTTATAACCTTAATCGCTTTTCGGCTATAATTATATTACGCGAAGCGCGTATTTTCTTAATCTATGAGAGATTAGTCACGTGAATTACTCACAAAAAACGATTCTTATGCTGCAACAAAATACGATTATGCAAGATTTGCATATCGTAAATGTAACTTCCATTAAATTAATATTTTTTTTTAATGGTATCCTTTCAATGAAATCCAAATTAAGGAATTCAAATTAAGAAGACAGAAATTTGAAGTAAAAACATAAATATGAAATTTGAAGTGTAATATTATTTGTAAAACTTGTATAATTATTTGTATATAATTATTCGTAATATTAACAATTTTTCTAGAATATTTTATTTTTAAAAGTAATCAATTCGATTTTAAAAATCCCATTTAAAAATATTACTATTTCTCTAAATCAATTTACGTATATAATTTATAAATATTATTATTTGTCAAGAATTACCTTATAAAAATATATTTTATAAATAAAAGCAATATTAAATATATAATTGTATATAATATATAAATAGCATAATTGTGTAATAAGCGATAAAAATATTACAGAGATTGCCGTAACATGTTTGTATAATACATTTATTTTCTCCAGACAAATATATGTGACTGGCGAAGACGCTTTTCAAAGCGAAAAGTCCGAAAAGTGCAGTTGAATTCACCAACAGTTCGAGCACGGGTATTGTTTACTGCATCCTGAATTGGGCTCAATGCATTTCGATGTTCATTATCTATTTACGAGCTTTATTATAAATCACATCGACGGCAACGTACAGCTTTAACGATGTGTTGATTATCGAGGAATTGGGTAAAGCGTTCGACTCTAAGATGAAATCGCCCGTTAAATGCTGCGAACTGTGCACAATCGATAAACAAGGCTTAAAAACAAGAAGGTAGTTAACGAGCGCCAGATCACCTTCGGCGATATTAGATTTTGGTATAATTAAAAATTGAACCGAATCCGTTCCTTGGTTGTGCCGGAAATTCCTTTCTTTCATCCGCATCTTTGCGAGGATTCCTCTCCGTCCTTTTCAGTAATGATTTGACAGACCGCCTTTAACGCTCCCTTTATTCACATATATATATATTCGTGCCTATTATTCGCATTGCTGCTTTAGGCTTCATTTCTACTATTCTATTCGTTTTGCGTATATTAAAGATGTGGTTATCGCGTGTGCTTTTATATCGTTAACAATTCTTTGTATATATAATAGCGTATTCGATATGCATAAAGTGTAATTAATATCTGTCCATAAAAAAGGGAAAATATCGAATACGCTTTATTTCGCAAAAATAATAAATAAAACGAACATGCGATATTTTAATTTTTACAATAGATTTCAATTATTAAAGAAATCAGGTAGCGTTTCTATGAGTGGCTACGTTCGATAAATCAGAACCGGTCTTTTTGCATTCGCTTATTAGTTAATGTAGAAACGTTTTATATTTACTAGACCATCATTCATTCAGAACAAATGGCAACTAGCTTGTTTATCGAGAACACTGAGTTGGGCTGGTTGTTGCACTCGAGCCTTCGATTTAATTTACTTTATGCGCAATCGAATAAACAATGTTGACTTGCCAGCTTTCTCGTTTTCACGCTTGGATAGAAAGGCGAATGGAATGGAAACGGTCTCGCATCCCGTGTACGCACATATTCGCATATAGACCGACGCAACACACACGGTTTTGCATTCTCTATGAGCAGCTTTCGCACGATCGATACGTCATATACTTTACGCACACGTGCCCGCTATCGGCGAATAAAGGAGAGCAGCTTCGTTTCCTGCAATTACACAAGCAAACATCGCATCGTTGCTTCATTAAAATAACACGCTGGATAAAGTCAAAATTTCTGTCCGCTAAACGGATATCCGCAAAAAATTTGGTTAATATGGAAAAACTGCTACATCCCTAATATCTTCATGTTTTCGGCATGTTCACGCTACCTTAAACGCGTAGATTTTAATTTCAGAGTAATTTTCGTCGATAATTGCAAACGGCTTCACTAAATTGACAAAGTTGCGCGTAATGGCGCGGCAAATTTTAATGAATCAGACAGGGATCGCCTGTAGTATTGTTCATGATAATCGTAAATTTCAGAAATGCGCAGAGTAAGCAAGGATGACGCTTAAATTATGGAATATTTCATTAAAGTAAATGCAGATCATTAAAACAATTACATGTAGCTCGTATCTAATACAAAAATACCCATACTTGTTGTCATTGATTACAGCGTTTTTTTCCATTCGCCTTTAATCCCGGATTTTTTCATATCGCGCACGTAATATTGCAGTTTGTAATTTGTAATAGTAAATGCAAATATACGAGGAATTTCAACGTGCGCTAAACTGTTCGCGGAAACATAAGACAAAATTGTTGCGAAATGAATTCAAAAGTTTTATTCCACCTGCGCATAATAGATTTCTTTTGCAGAACATATCTAAACTTTCAGAAGTTCTTCTCGTTTGGGGCTGTACGGTGTATTATTTGCGAAAACAATGTTGGTCTTACATGAAGTCTACAGAATATTCAAGCGCCACGACAAAGTAGAATATTCTAACTTCCTGACAACGTCAGCTTTTCCCGCTTTACTAACGGAGTTAGTTGTACTAACGGAGATATGTTCAAAGTTACTCACGCATCTTACTTTTCAAACTTTCCAATATCGTGCATATATTTTAACAAGAAAAAGTGGAGAGGATTAATGTATTTCCGATTTCATATTTTATTTCCGAGCCTTCGTCGCTCTTTTTAATCTTTACATCCTCTCATTATATTTTATTTCGAGCTTAAGTTTGAATAATGAAGATTAATAGATTTTGTTAAAAAAAAATGTTACATCATATTCTTGTCATCGTGATAAAATATTATAAATGTCGCTCATTCAATTCGGTCATTTTTCACCCTTTATACCGCCAATACGTGGCAGGTTTATTCAATAATATGATTTCCAATGTAAAGAATGGTCAGTCCGCACCTCCGACGAGGTGACGAGGCACAACGCAATATAATAAAACGTAATGGACGTAATGGACGAAGAAATCTCAGAAGCAAGGCGGTTTCGTCTCGATAAGTCCGCGACTCGTAAGTTCGTTATAGTTGAGCGACACGGAATTGATAAGAGCAGTGTACTGATAAGTCGCGTAAGTTCGTTACCGGTACCAAGATGGCCGATTCGTATCACTGCGGCGGCACCAAGACAGCTCGGTACTCCTCTCTAAGAACTTCGTCGCCTGAGACACGGCTCGCTCGCAGTCACTTGGTCTGATAGTAACAGCAAAACGGAATGCAGGCAGTAGTAGGATACAGGGTGTTTCGCGACAGGGACGGGGATTAAGTCGGAAAATGGCTTTATTATGTCAGAAACTACCATCCAACCGTAATGACAGAACGGAACTCGTTGAGTACCGACGATTTAGTCGCACCGGCACCGGATGCATTTAGATGGCGAAATTAAAATTTTTTTTCGCGAATGGTGGGTTTCCCACCCTCTCCCCCTTTCACAGAAGGGCCTTCCGAGGTTTGTCGATCGCGTCTGTCACGTGCGTAAACGATTCAACTCTCCGAACTATGAGCATAATGGTCGCGACTACGCGCGAGATATGCATTCCGCGAAGTGCATTCTAGCATGTTCCGATTGTAAGCGTATCTATGTAACAACTTACGACGATCGTTAGCTCTAATGGTGGA